CCCCAAAACCCCAAAACCCCAAAACCCCATGAAAGAAAATTTTGATATTCAACTAGAATAAGTTTTAAAATGAAGAAATTTTTAATATTTAAAGCCTATTATAGTAAATTTATAAAACATTTGTAGAATTATTAAAGATTTTTAAAGCATCTTACTAGAATGACTGATAAAGGCAATTCCTAAACAAAGCAACCAACTTAAGCTAGTATAGTTTAAAGAAACAAGCTTTTGAGACGTTAAGTGAGAGATTACATTATAAAAATGTCAGGTTTCATCATTTCAGTTACTTATTTAGCACCATTAGACAGAATTCAGAAGCTTTTATAAGTTCAAAATGTAAATTCTTTGATTCCGCCTGATCAAAGATACAAAGGATTCATGGATTGTGTATATAAAGTCTATCGAGATCAAGGTTTGCTTTCTTTTTGGAGGGGTAATTTGGCAAGTATCACTTCATCATCTTTCGGATTGCTTTTAACTATGATCTTCAAAAATAAATTGAACAAGCTAAATGGGAGTGAGACATTCATGGCTGATCATAAAAACTTGATTCGCTTGATGATTAACGGAGGTATATCAGGTGTACTATCATAGCTTTTCGTCTATCCATTGTATATTGTTAAAACTAGACTATAAACAGATGTTGGTACTGCTCCAAAAAACAGAGAGTTTTACAACATGAATGATTGCATTGACAAACTCTATTAGAAAGAAGGCTTAAGGACATTTTACACTGGGTTTTCATTATTTTTATTGAAGAACTTTATCTATAAGGGAATATTTTTTGGTCTTCAAGACTTCTATCTCAATAATAAGGCTAATCGTAAAGAGTAAATTAGTCAAATAGAAAATTTTAAAGTGGCATCAATTATCGTTTTCATAACAGAGACTACTTGCTATCCACTTAGTCTAATTTTGAATAGACTAATCGTCTAACAAGGTAAATCTGATAAGTTATTCTCCTCAATACTTTAATGTATTAACTGGACAATGAAAAATGAAGGTTTAATAGGGTTTTATAGAGGAATTCTTCCATTATATGTCAAGACTTACAATTCATCCATACTCGTTTTACTCTACAACTACTACTATTAGACATAATTGCCTAATAGGAAATTGTTGTGAGTGAAAAGAGATGATAGATCACCCTTGATTATTTTTATGAACCATTTAATGTAATAAATCTTTAATCATATAATCTTCCAAAGATCTATTTTCTTAAATTAAAAAGATACTTAAATTTTAATTCCATGGGGTTTTGGGGTTTTGGGGTTTTGGGGAGATCGGA